ATATATGAGTTTGTATGTAATGTATGAATATAATATACAAGTTTCACTTTTTAAATGGAATTACTGAAATAAATCTACTTTTTCATGATATTCTAATTTTATGACCAGCACCTGTATGTTTATCACAGGGTTCAACAAATCCTACTGCCCGACTGTCCGGGGCAGGTAAAACCCATTGTCGGGCAGGTGGGTGTGTCCCAATGCCTGCCCGGTCGGCCTGTTGGGTCTGTTGGTAATCTATGTTGGTTTGCAACCTGTGTTGGTTAGTCAGCTGCACTGGCTGGTAAAATGTGTTGTTAACCTTTGTTGGTTGTTACCTGTGTTGTGTTTCTCATGTTGTAGCTCAGCGTTCCTCAGAAGTCTGACTCCTTCTGTCAAACCGAGAGACTGAAGAGCTTCAACCAGATTTTCAACAGGTCCTCCGCCCACCTTAACACAAACACAAAGACAGGAGTAACCACTTCTTGAATCATAAGGAGCCAGTCCACTCTATTTCAATAGTTTTTCTTTTCAGGACATATAAGTGATCTGATCTGTACCAGGTTCAACGTTTGGTTAAATTCAGCCTCAACAAAACAGATCTCACTTATTTATTAAACACAAACTAAATTTCAAAGCTGTGAGTGAAGAACTGCTTACAGCCATGCTACTGCAGGGTTTCAGAGGTTCAGTTTCAGTCAAAATGCTGAATCATTGATCATCATCAATAAAACCACTTGTAGAAAAGTAGGCACTTTTACTGCTCTGTGAATCAATAATTCATCAATAATTCAAAGTAATACACTGTAATTCATCTTGCAGGAATCAGTTGTTTCTCTGAAATGAGAGTAATCAGAAAAACATTAAAATGACTGAAATATCCTAATTAATTTATCTGTAAAATGTTTCATGTTTCAAACAGAAGGAGCTGATTTATCAATGAAAGGATGTCTGACTGCTGTCAGCTGTCAATAATCCTGACTGACAGGTCTGAGATGGGACCACCTTACCTTGTAGTGCTGCAGCAGGTGTTGGCACGGCGTCGGACTTTCCTGGTACAGGTGAGTCAGCGTCATCATGCCAAGCTTCTCAGCCAGTTTCATCCAGGGAACGTCTCCGACACTTAGAACCTCCACCAGCCGAGACAACGTGGCTTCATCGAGCGCTGAGCTTTTGGCATCTGCAGCACCGTTAGGTTCACGATTAATGAGTTGGTCTGACCAACAACACAAAGATCTGAGCTGAACAAACCTTCAAAGCTGCTGCTGGCTTTGATCTTTTTACTCTCTCGCCGAGTCGACTTTGGATTCTGTTGATTGTTTAACACATTCTTCACCTAACGAGAGGGTATGAAGTGAACAGAGCAGGAAATGAGGTGAGGAAAGACTGTAAACCCGTTAGCTTTTCCTTTAGTAGTAGGTCTGTTGCTTGCTTGGTAAAGACAGATTTCTGTAGCCTGAGCCAGACTGGGATTTGCTCCATCGTATGAAGAACTCTTGTTTTGTATCCATATTACATAAACTGTCATGAATGTCTTAATAAGCACAATGCCAGGGTTCCCACACCTTGGTCAATTCAAGGACCTTTCAAGGACTTTCCAGTACCAATTTCCTCAAATTCAAGAACCACGCGCGACGACAATTACCTCCTGCTACTACAGAGTGTTACCACTGAACAGGTTTAATATCATGTTAATTCAATGAAAAACTGAACACAGAAGTTGTTGAGTCAGAATCAATGAAAGAAAGTGGATTAAATGTTTACCCTACATTCATATCCACAATACACGGACATGTAATTACCGTATTTTTCGGACTATAAGCTGCGACTTTTTTCCTGAACTTTGAACCATGCGGCTTATAGACCGGTGCGGCTTATACATGGATTTTTTTCTTCAGCCACCAGGTGGCTCTTATGCTGCATTTGCTTCAACCACTCGCTTCAAAAAAAAGGAAAAAAGAAAAGAAAAGAGCGATCTCTTCCAGAGCCGACTGTTGTACCAGGAAGCAGCGATTTAAAGATAGTCAATGGCCAAAAACTCATAAAAGGGGATAAAACAGACATTTTTCACGGTGGAATCTGACTTTGGAGCTTAATCCAGGACCAGTTTGTGGATAAATGTCGAGTGAAGAGCCGCGGACTTTTTTTTTCCCTCATTGCAC